GCAGCAGTATCGACCGACGCGCAGCGGATTTAGCGAACTTCTTTGTAAGGCATATAGCTGTGGCTGCAGACCTGCTACCTGACAGCGGGTCCACGAGAGAGAGGTCCGCCACAGCGCGATCAGTCAATCTTGCACGCATAGTTGTCTGATTGGTTGTATGATATACAACGACGCGCCCACATATCCTCGCGTCATAAGTACGTCAAAACTCAATGAACTCTGGGAAATATCGTATTTGCCGTATGATGGCGTCGTAATGCAGCTGTCCTGACATGGCGTTACCAAAGGAAGTGAATCTCACTGGAAATGTGCGCGGCAAGTATATGAAAACTGAAACTGTTTCAATTCGTGTATTAGCTATTACCCAACATTTTTATAATATGCACAGGGACTAGAAACTTGTAAAACGTAGTTCTCGCTTCTGGCATTTACCGTGACCGCCATTGCACGTTGTCTGAGTTAGCGTCAATGAATAGACTGTACTTTTAGCAAGTTAAATTAATTTAATAAATTCTTTCCTTAAATGTAGATGCCAGTGTACCAAGTGTTGTCACAAGCCTGGATGATCTACTGACAAAATTACATGATGCAATGATGATGAACATTGCTCATGTAAAAAATGGCACTGTTCACTTTGTGGTCATAAAACTGACAAATATTTACTGAAAAAAAAACATTTGAACAGTGTGTACTGTTCAAGACTCGAGTTTCAAGGCAAGTGTAACTTTTATTCGCTTCAGACTAATAATTAGTCTTGCTACTTCAGTAAGGGGTTGCATATGGTGCAAATTGCTATGTATTTTCTTAGTTTAAGAGATCTTTTTAAATCGTTTGTAATTTGACTTTGTTGCTTCTCGTGTGTGGGATATTTATAAAAAAAATGTCATTGATTGAATGAGTATCTTGGAAGTTTGAATTTAATCTGGCGTCTGCACCCATGTTTGAAAATAAATTATCTTAGTTGTGTTAATTCTGTAGGTATTGCTTGTGTTTTGTGCAAGTGCTCCATTGCAAAAATGAAGACTCCTCGACATTGGCATTGTCCATTGTGCTGACAAACATTTTCATAATGTTCCCAGTTGAGTGTACATCTTCCTGGTTGTAGTTGTGGTGATTTAAATGTACGGAGCAGTGAAATTGAAAGATTGGAAATTGGAAAGAAAGTGAGAACATCAGATGATGCTGACGGTAATTAAAATGATCTTCTATTTCGTCACCAGTGGTATGCCTTGACTATGCAATAGGAGATTGTCTGTCACTTTCAAGAATGAATTTGTGCCTTATCCATTTTGTTGATTTTTATATTTTACTTCACTCAAATAATTAACAATAGTTACAGAAATTTAAATTGGCATGCCACTACACACATGAAATACATATTTTTACTGATGTTCAAAATAGTGTGTACACATAAAGTATCTGTTGTCTAAATAGTACTATTTTGTATACATCTATTTAAACAGCAATGGAATGAGTCATTGTTGCAAAGACCTTGTAGGTAGGCCATCTGTTCTGGCACCCCACTGTGTCCACAGATATGTGATGCTCATAAAGTAGAATTTGTATGTGACATGGGTAATTCTATGTCATCCTTGATTCTCAATCCTTTATGTTGTAATTAAATCTCTGAATATTTTTAGCTGTATTGAGTGTAGAATATTATATTCACTTTCCACTAAAGAGTTTAAAATCTAGAGTTGTCAATTTTGATCTATTTTATAAAAAAAATTAATTATTGACAAAATCATAAAAATCATATTCATAACTTCAATGATAACAAATGTAAAGAAGGTTAACATGATAGCTATTATTTACAGAATTCTTAGGATATTTGAAAACTACAGTATTCTGAAAAATGTAAATGTTGCTGCAAATAATTTTGTAATGGGTGGCAATGGTGAGGTGGGGTCGGGATGTTCCTATTATTGAATGTTCTGTGCGTGTGTCTGTCACGTAATTTGTATTTCTTTATTAAATTAAACAAAATGAACTCTGGGGCAACCTTATTCTTTTCTTGCAGGTTCTATTAGAAACTCGAAAAAGAAAGTTGCCCATTACAAAAAGTGATGACGATATCAGAAAAAATATCAAAAGTATCAAAGATGTTGTCACCTCCACAGACTGAATGTCCCACTTGTGGTATGGTAATGTTGAAAAAGAACTTGAACACACATATTACCAGGAAACATTTCAAAGACAACATGTTAGCTCTTCCAACCTTTACTGTCTTCACAGTTGATAAAGCTAAAGGTATTTTTAGCCTTTTGAGTGGGCCACATTACTTTGTAGACATGTAGTGATAGGCCTTCATTATAATGGCAATAGTGGTACCATTACTATGTCTGCAGACTAGGTCCACGAGAGCGTGATTATTGTCTGCGAACACATACTAGTGGTTATGAAATTATTACAGGTCTATCACATCCAGGTAGATGTAGTAATTACTTTGTAAACATGTAGTGGTGATAGGCCTTTATTATAATGGGAATAGTGGTACCATTACTATGTCTGCAGACTAGGTCCACGAGAGCGTGATTATTGTCTGCGAACACATTATACTAGTCATAATGAAATTATTACAGGTCTATCACATCCAGGTAGGTGTAGTAATTACTTTGTAAACATGTAGTGGTGATAGGCCTTTATTATAATGGGAATAGTGGTACCATTACTATGTCTGCAGACTAGGTCCACGAGAACGTGATTATTGTCTGCGAACACATTATACTAGTGACATTGAAATTATTACAGGTATATCACATCCAGGTAGGTGTAGTAATTACTTTGTAGACATGTAGTGGTGGTACATGTAGGCCTTCATTATAATGAGAATAGTGGTACACACGCACTTAAGCTGATTTTTTTCATGCTTGCCGTATTATGAAGCTTGTATAGGATGTATATCGAGTGTACAAAATGATCAACTAGAAGCCATTTTTTAGCTCCGCTGTTGACCTTCTCGAGCAGAGCTTATCATATGAGTGATTGTCAGTCTCCGTCGTCCGTGTCAATGTTTTACTTTTTCGACTTTTTCTTGAAACGTATATGCCTGAATGCTTTGATGCTTGGTGTACATGTGCCCTGGGTAGACCTCTCTTAAATTTGTTCATTTCGTGATGATATCTTTAATTCTCTAATTTTGGTGAATATTTTTGGTAAAAAGTGATATTTTCGACTTCTTGTTAAAAACCGCAAGTCCAATTGCTTTGATATTACATATATAGGTACCACATGTGGACCTCTCTCAGATTTGTTCATTTTGTAATGATATCTTTAATTCTGAATGTATGAAGGTTTTACATGTTAGGTGTCTGATGTATGTCCAGTTTTGTTATATTTCAATTCAAAATGGCCAACTGGTGGCCATTTTGTTTTTACAAATAAATCCCAGGGCAATCATTGCCTATCACTTGCAATGACTGATCACATTCAAACTCAACAAACACATCAGACATCATATCATAATTATGCACATGCATTTATTTTAAGATCCAATTCAATATAGCTGAATAGCTGCCATTTTAGTGCTAAAAATTCATCAAAATTAAGAATTTCTGCCATTCCATAGTTGGATTCGATTGCTCCAGATGGTCTCCTCTCAGATTTCTTTGTGATGATATCTTCAGTTATTAATTGAAATGTGAATTGCTAGCAGTGGAGATATCTCAGCCAAGAGGCTGCTTGTTACACTTTTAGCTCCACTGTCAAGCGCAGCTTATCATTATGAGTGATTGTTCGGCGTCATTCGGCCGGTGTTATTTGGCGTCGTCTTGATTTGATACTTGATGTATATGTATTTTGGGCAGACCACAGGGAGTTGGACAAACTTGTGTATTTTAATAAATTATTAAATAATAAAATTTCATATAACTTTTCTTTTACCACCCCCTCCTGGTCTTTTACCCCCCCTGTTTATACCACTCTTTCCTTTTTCACAACTTTGTTACGCGCTAATGTTATATGCAAATTTTAACGCGCGATGTAGACACACCCTATTATAGTAAAATATCCCAAGGGTTGAAACGCGCCAATTTATTAATAATTTATTAAAATACATAAGTTTGTCCAACTCCCTGTGATAGAACGCAAATAATTTAGCTTGAACAATGTCAAAAGTAAATACACTAAAACAAATATAGTAGTGTCGAGATATGGGAACATCTAAGCACATTGACTTTAGGATATGGGTAAGCAGAAACGTTTCAAAGTGGAAACAATTAGTTTAGTAATGTTATAGTTACTTTCCAATCACGTGTCGTGTTCCACTAATAGCTATTAGGCGCACATGGCAGCTGGGATATCGCTGAGAGCGGGAGAGCCAAAACAATTGTCCCTTCTATGCTGTCTCATACCCCTCCCGTCCTTGCGTTAACTATTCCAGCTACCATGGTTACGTTACATGGATCAGAGGAACAGCAGATGACATGAGGGGAAAAATCAAAGCCAAAAACATCAAAACATCGACTTAATGTCGATGTAATCTTGGTATTGAAATAGGTTTGGTGTGACTCTTTATAAAGTATGAATTGGATAGGATATTATAACTAAGGTTCTATGATAGAAATACCAACAGTTACATTGTTTTCTGTTTTGTCTGTCACCTCATGGCTTCAAATGTCCTACAATAGTTTGGAGTAAACAGAATCCTAATTTGCTTAGTCAAACGGTTATATCTCAAGAATCGCTTTTTTGTTTCAAAGGAATTATGTGCACGCTGAAAGTGTATTACCAGAATACATTTTGATAACACTAATGACCTCATTACCTCAGTTGCATAATTAATTATTTTTATTCAATATATCATGGGGGGATGTCTAAGCTTTCTTTAGAGTATTCGAGGTGTGTAAATGATGTGAAAAACATATAGGGCAGAAGCAAAGTGCGGAGCACCCTTTTGGAAAAGCACCGAGGGCGGACGAGAAAATAATTGAGTTTGGAACGACAAACCATGGATGCCGAACACGCTAATAAAATAAAGTGCGGCTGCTAACAATATTTCCATGACCGACCTCCATGACCTTGAAAATAGTTGGTCAATAAATCAAACGCAGAAGCTGACTGATTAGCAAAATTACCGGTCAAAAACACAGATTATAAACCGATGATAAAATATATAAAATCAGGCTATGACTGACGAGACAAATAGCCGGCCAAAATACAAACTACAAATAAATGACGGAATTAAAACTAATAACAACAAGTAACCTGTAGAATGCTGTGTGGGTAATATTTTTATATTGATTTTTGTTGCATTTGCAGCAAATAGTTACCAAACAATGAGAAATCTATAGGATTGGATATACCTCTCAGCTGGCTTCACATGCATAGTTCAAGACTGCCTAACCGGTGCTTATACCAGGATTTAGTTGCAGCACTGTGGTCTGTGGTTACAGCTTCATTTTCCGAGTAATCACAAGAAATTGACATTACAATAGAAAATAAAAGACTGGCACTCCCATACAATTAATAGCAAGTGAAATTCCTGGAATTGAAACATAGATTT